TATTATGGTGGTGTAAATGATTCTGTCAAAGCAGAAATCCATAGATCCCTGGGATTTACTGAAGGCAAAATTCCATTCAGATATCTAGGTGTCCCCTTATTTGTAAAAGACTTACATATGCTGATTGCAATCCACTCATTGATTCAATATCAGGTCAACTTCAGAAGTGGTTAAAGCATAAGAACCTTTCTTATGCAGGGAGATTACAAGTCATAAAGAGTGTGATTCTGGGGGTTCAAAATTACTGGGCATCTAATTTCATTCTTCCTGTTAAAGTCACAATGAAGATTGATAAGTTGTGTAGGAAGTTCTTATGGGGGAAGACTAATAATTCTTTTATACCTCCATTAGTTTCATGGGATAACGTTTGTTGTGGGAAAAAACAAGGAGGATTGGGTGTGTTCTCTGCATCTATTTGGAATCTTGCTTCAGTTTTGAGAAGCCTATGGTACATTTATGTTAATAAGGAGATATTATGGATCAAATGGATTCATGAGAATTACCTAAAACACTTGGATGTTTGGCAAGTTAATTCCAAAACTGGGGACTCATGGATGTGGAAGCAGTTGATTAAAATTAGGGATAAAGTTGTGAATGCTTATGGTGGTGTGGATAATTTAAAGCAAATTGTTAATTCTTGCTATAAGAGCTCTAAAATCCAGATATCTACTGTGTATGCTTCTTTCTCCCCTGTTTCTCAAAGTGTTCCTTGGTTTAACACTGTTTGGGTAAGATGAACTATCCGAAGCATTCATTTGGGTAAGATATCATAACAATATTCCAAAGAAAATCCTAACTTAACTAGAAGATTACAGAGCATAAGATCGAATTCTAATAAAATCTTCATTAGGGTTAGATATTGGTCTGTCCAGCATCATGATGGAATTAACCAACGATGATAGAGAGAAAGATCTCATTATTAAGGAAGATTCAAGAGTCAATGTTGCAACCATAGAAAAGAGTTCACCATGGAGAAAGTCATAGTTGATGTCAAAACAATTAGGAGAGAAAACTTCCCTCATTATGACACATTGATAAGATAGATAAATATATATATAAATATAATCGAACTCATGACTAAAATAAGCTTAATCTTTGGCTGTAATGATCTAGTTAACAAAAAAATATGTGGTGGGATATAGCCTCACATTTAAAAGAGAAATGAATATATAGTTTACTATGTTTAAACTAGTAGAGAAAATAGAGAAGGCAAAGTTATTATTGCATGTAAGACTAACATCTCTTAAATAGAGATTAGGAGAATATTATAAAATAAAAATGAGATAAATTCATATCTAATCACATCTCGAAATATATTCACAATCTCATAATATCTCCTACATATAAATATCAATAATATCCAACATTCTTCCTCAAAGCTGGATTATATATTAACATATATGTCCAGCTTGTTATGAATGTGAATAAAATAACTACTTGCAAGAGCTTTAGTAGTGTCATCTTTGGCTGCAATGCTTGAAGACATCAACAATCGAAAACTATAGTCACAACTAGTAAAAATCCAAGGCAGGTAAGCTAGTAGAAGGAACCAGAGGTGGGCCAGACAGTATAAAGTAGAGGCGGGCATGCCAGTAGAAACCCTAGGCAGGTAAGCTAGTAAAAATACTATAGTACAAACCTTAGGCTAGTCAGCTAATACAACACTGTCAAAATAAGACCGAAGTCATTACATATAACTACCAAAGATGTCGAAGAGTAAATAGTAAATCTTACTACTGTTCATTATGTTAGTAGCAAAACAAGGCTATTCCACTAGGTATAGGGTACACAAGAAATCGAAGAAAATGTAGAAAACTAATTTGTATCTTTGAGACTAAGAACAACAAAGAGAATATTCTTGCTGGGATTTACAAGATAGAAGAGTGAAATAATAATCTTCTTAATGATAGTAAAGAATCTTTCATTTTTCTCCTGTGGGTACATATATACATCATCAAAGCATGTGAGTTTCACATTTTTTTGGTACGCTCTTTAATTTGGTTGTTGTTTTTCTTTGATTGTCATAAGGTTTCAACATTACACTCCCCATAGTTGGGTCAAGGTAGAGCACACTTAATATTAGGGAAATTTTTAAAAAAAGATCCTTTTTTCTAAATAATGAGCAAAACCGACAGTTTTGCTAATTATTTAGTAAAACCGACCTCTTTTTGGCCAACATGCCAAAAATAGGTCGGTTTTGAAAAACTACATCTTCGAAACATACAAGACTACTTGTCCTATATGTTTAGTGGTCACTAATTGGCCACTAATTTTAAACCAAAAAACCCACGGGACTACTAGTCCCGTGGGTTTATAAATGTATACATATGGGACTTCTTTTTTATTATATTTCTCCAAAGATATTAAAGTAAGCAATTGATTGAGATTTATCCCATATTTAGCACCATTATCCACCAAAAAATTCTGAACAAAGACGCTACCTTGGCTAGAAAATTTCCAGTAGCAATTTTAAAAAAATAGTAAATAAAAATGAAGGGGATGAACAACAACCCGAAGCTTGTCTTGCTCCAGCACCAGTAGAGCTCAGGATTCCCCTCCTCCGGGTTCCACCACCACCTCCTCCTCCTCGCCGTTGTGTCCTTCTTCACCTTCGCATCGCTCCTGACCCTCCTTCACCATTGTAGTAGTTCCATGGTTTTCTGGTTTAGAATTAGTGGCCAATTAGTGACCACTAAACATACGGGACTAGTAGTCTTGTATGTTTCGAAGATGTAGTTCTTCAAAACCGACCTCTTTTTGGCCGCCTGTTGGCCAAAAAGAGGTCGGTTTTGCTAAATAATTAGAAAAACGGTCAGTTTTGCTAATTATTTAACAAAAAAGGACTTTTTAAAAAATTCCCCTTGATATTATATTCAGTCTTGGTGTAAAACTTGATCCAACATGGTTTAGAGCTTCTTTAGGTGTACATGCTCTCACACTTGGTTGTTGTGTTTTTTTTTAATCGGCAAAGTGTGAAGTTGAGACACTATCTCTCAGTTACTACATTGTGCTATTGAGCTTGAATTAGACCCGACTATAACAAAACCATGGTAGAGATTTGTTAGGAGTGTTTCTCAATCATTTTGTTTAAGTTTAGTAGGCAGGAAGGAGAGGGAAAGGGAGGGAAGGGGAGGGAGAAAAATTAAGTCTGCCTTTGGTAGAGAGTTTTTAGAGGAGGAGGTAGAGTAAGGGGATTGGAGGTGAGAGAAGTGACATCACAAAATGATCTAAAACGTTAGAGAGAAAAGAATCCCTCCAATTTAAGAGGATACGAGAGGAAAGAGAAAATGAACTATAAAACTATGCACCTTCCCTCTCTTCCCCTCCAAGCAAGCATGAAGGCTTATTAAAGGGATGTCTATCCCTCCACCTCATTGCACCTATTCTCACCCCACCTTTCCTCGTCAAACACCCTATGAAATATGTGTTTAGTTACCAAAAGACATGAAGTGGGATTTACTCCCATAATAAAATGAAAGTTTGAGGTTAAATATGTTTGGACTCATGACTCAAAGAGTATTAGTTCTTTTAAACAAATTGAGCACAAGTAGACTACTATTTTTCATCTCCTATAATGTGTCCTTCCAACCTTAACACAGTTTATGTAGCGATAAGTAAAAGAGTTTTCTCCACTAAAGACTAGACAGTGGATGTGATATAACACTACAGTACAATGTTAAAGCTTTTCTGAAATTAGAAAAAGTCATTAGCTTGTTCTAAGTGCGCATCACAATAGATTTTCTCATAGCTAAGTTAAAAGATTACTTCATTAGCAATGAAAAGAAAGAAAAAGAAAACCTTCACACTATTGTTGAGTTTAGATACCACAGTTTCTTTCCTCGTAGGAGAACGTAAATTTGAATCTTCCAATTTGTAATTTGAATTAATATGTAACTTCTTCTTCTTCTTCTTTTTCTTCTTCTCTTCTTTTTTAAAAAAATATTAATTTCACAATCATTAAAGTCCAGGACAATTAAATACCATTTTGATCTGATCATTTATGTCATACATGTGTATAGGATATATATATATATGGACCTAGTTTGAAAGTGTTTTCTCTTCGCTGGGGTTTCTTTCTTCTAGTTTCCAAGTTTCTTTCATTTCTTATGGAAGCTACATGCATACATATGGACTTTCCTCAAAGAAAAAAAAAATCCTTTAGGCTATATTGAGAGTCTAGGACAGAGCTTTTTCCCCCTTCCTGAAAAGTATAACACATTTTCTCACAACACAAACATGATAATTTTTTTTTAAAATTTTGTCAGTGATTGGCAAACACAACCATTAGGCTAAGTACACTTGGCTAGACAAAAACCCACAATATACCTTCTTTTATCCTTGATAACTCTTAAGGTGCTTAAAACCCATATCGTCAAGTAGTAGAATTAAAATTTTAAGAGAGGACAATCGATACTTATGGCAAAGATAAAAATAAAGTTAAATCTATGTTACTCATTTATCACTTATTTTATATACTGTGTATCACATGATTATAACTTATTTTACATGCTTTTCCCTTGTTACAAACGTACCAATATGTTATTAGTATTTGCTAGTGCTCATCTCATTTCAGTTATGCTTTTCACTTCTTCTATATTTATTGTTCATAAACATATAACATAAATTACATTTAAATGGAATGAAAAATGTTGTAGACAACCATTTTGTAAGCAGTAAAAATAATAATACTAATAAGAGAAGATAAAAAGTTTACAACTAAAGATTAATTGAGGTTCTTTTTTTCATTGGGTTATTGGGGTTATTAATATCAATTAATATAAAAAAAATAGTTATGAAATCAAAAAGAATTTGAAACCCTATAAACTTCTCCCAAATCACAAGTTTCGCATACAAAAGAAAAATCAAAGAGAAATTGTGCTAGAATTAGAGGAGGAAACATTGGAACAGAGGAAGAAGAAGATATAAGCTTCTAAGGTAAGCTCTCATTGGTTTTATTTTGCTTTGGTTTCATGGAAAAAGAAAATTTGTAATAATGATACATTTTCTGGTCCAATGACGTTGTCTTCGGCGACGTTTGATGATCTCCGGCCAGCCCATGGCCGAGGATTTCGCTGGATGTGGTCACCCTATCCACCAAATCAAATTTTAGTTTAATGGGTTCAAGAACGAAAAGAAATGGAGATGCTCAGATGGAGCAGATAAGAGGGAGAAGAAAAGGAAAATTGATATTAGTCCCCTTGAAAGTTGAAAGTTTGTTTTATGTCCAAAATCTTTGAAGAGATGATTCTCTAGAAATCCTAATTAATGGAAAGTTTTCCCTTTACCCCTTAAATTAGAAAAGATATTATTAGGCCCAAGTTTTGTTTAAAAAGGATGGAAATTTTGATTGAGGAGTAAATTTCAATACCAAGTTTCCCAAGTTTTTAGAAAAGTCCCTTGTATCAGAACTGTTAGTTCCATACCCAGAATAGTTTATATATATGATCTTTAGTATTTATACATATTATATAATTATAATTTTGATTGAGGAGTAAAATTTTGGAGTACGGTTCTCCAAACTGCGATCAAATCTTTTAATTGAGTAGATTTTTTATCATTAGTTATTTTTTAAATATTTTGGTATAAAAATAGTCTATCATATATCGTAGTCTTGTTTTAATAAAGATAAACTATTAGATCAGACATGTTATTTCTGTATCAATCATAGAAAAATTGTTAAAGAATTTGATATTGAGTGATTATTTATCTTTAAAAAGATAAATATTATATAATATGCAAACTATTGAAAATATGTTTTAAATTACTATTCATATACATATTGAAAAGTTATAGATTTGACAAATATAATCTAATTAGTATAGATTCATGAATATTCAATTTTCATGGAAAATATATGAGTAAGTTTATGAAATTGTTAAAGCATATGATATGGCTTTTTGTACAAGTGAATATTACAAGTGATACTTTGAGCAAAAAGAAAAGTATTTTAAATGTTAAAAATCATCAGAAGTTCACTATGGAGTGAAGTTTTTTGTTTAAACTAATCATATGATATTGAATGTATGTGTTAAAGTGGCCTTTTTTAGCAAAAGTGAAGTAGCCTTCAGGCAACCTAGTGCAAGATATATTCTGTACCCGGGTCGACCTATAGTGATTCGATGCGCATTCTCATGCTAATAGGCTATAATTTTTGTAGCCTTAGTATGACGACTAATGGAGTTTTGATGACTTTAGATCAATATTTATAGTTTAAAATTATTTAGTCTTCAATTTTTTTTAAGTCTTAAATTTTGTAGATATTCTTTTATGACACCGTCACATGCTATTAATGAACGTTTCTCTTGTTCAAAAATTATATATTTCCCAAAAGTATTCTTTGACAACAGTTTTATTTATATTTAATGTTGAAGATTGTTGTAAACTTGTCTGATCTGCTAATGGTAATTTATCTATTCATTGAATGCAAACTCACCCGAATTTTTTTAATGTTTTTCAGATGAGTGTTAGATAGCTTTATCTATAGCATGAAGTGTGGGATATGAGAAAGATCTTCTGGATAATACTTTAATGTTGGGTTTATACTTCTCCTAGACATGTTGATATGCTTATGTAATAAGAGTCTCTCTTAGACATGTTGATATGCTTATGTAATTAGAGTCTTCGACTCATTAGAGTAAACTTGTTACAATGTAGTTTTTACTCTGAAACTTCTATATGTCCATAAAGATTCTTTTATTGAAAGTTTTAAATGTGATATGGAAGTGCATAGTAGGCTCAACATGTGTGCTTTTCACACGTGTTGTCATTGTCATGCATCTCAAAATAAGCTGCGCATTTTGGGGTTGTGACAAGTTGTGGTATCAAAGCTTAGGTTTAAAAGTCCTAGGCTTAGAAGTTTACATTTAGTAGCATTTAGAAATAAGTTTTAAAGTTGCTTTTAGTGATCATTGACATATCATTTGTTTGCTTTATAACTGGATGGTCAGGAATAACACAAGCACTCATTCAACTCAGGAAAGTGATTTGTACCAGACTTTGGGGCAAATGATTGGTGATAGAAATGCACATGGATTTGGGTCTAGAGGGAATCAAATGGATGCAAATGCTATTCTTTAGATGATGCAAAATCTCACTATTGTGATGCAAACTTAGTAGTAATAAATTAACCAATAGCAAGAATCTCGAGACAATGATCATCCTCAATTGTGAAGCGATAAAGCAAAGTTTAAGCAGTTCACACTGCCTACCTCTGAAGGAAGTGTTGATCCTATGGTAGCTAAAGACTGAATCATAGAGATGGAGAAAGTCTTTACTTATATGAAGTGTCCTGATGGAGAAAAGTGACTGATGGAGAAAGTCTTTACTTATATAAAGCGTCCTGATGGAGAAAAGTGGCTGGACCATATAGATGGAGAAAGTCTTTACCATATGCAATCTATATGTTGAAAGGATGTGCATATGGCTGGTGGCAAATGTAGTAGAGGATTCTACGAGATAGTGCTAACCAGATATCTTGGAAAGAGTTCAAGCAAGTCTTCTATGAGAAATACTTTCCAAAGACTATTTGCCAGTAAAAGAAGAAGGAATTTCATAAGTTGAAGCAAAATGATATGACAATGATTAGGTACGAGGAGGAATTCACTTATTTATCCAAGTTTGCACCCCTGTTTGTTGCAATCAAATAAGATAGAGCATGTCGTTTTAAGGAGAGTGCAACCTGAAATAAGGTTTTAAGTGAGCTTGCAAATAAAGAAGATAAAGTACATCATTTCAAGGAGGGTCTATAATCTGAGATAAGATTTCAAGTGAGCTCCTTTGAACTCTCCACTTATGCAACAGTATTAATGAAACCTTTAATGATTGAACAGGAGTGAAAAGAAAATTTCTCAGTTGATGATCGTAAGAACGATGGTATGAAGAAGAGGTTCAGATCGAATGAACATGGTGGTCATAACAAAAATTGGCAAAACAAGAGACAATATGTAGATTCAAAAGGAAAGTAGACTATGAACCAAAAGTCAATGAGATGCACCATATGTTATAAGCCTAACCATGAAGCGAAAAATTATTAGAGGGTGACTGGTGCTTGCCTGATGTGTGGTCAAAAGGATCAGAAGATTGCGGATTGTCCCAAATTGAATGAAACTCGGACGCATAAGGCACCTAAAGTGATCAGCATTCTCAAGCTAAGGCTCGAGTTTACTCTTTAATCGAGCAGGAGGCTCAGGTAAATAATGATGTGGTGTTAGGTACCATACATATATTTTCTACTTTTGTTCAAGTACTATTTAATTTTGGAGATTCTTTTTCTTTTATTGCTACACAATTTGTTAGGAAGTAAGAGTTTCCATATAATGCTCTAGAGCATAAAATACATGTTAGCACACCAGGAGATTGCATACTAACATCAAATAAGTATTACAAAGGTAAAATAAAGATAGTGGATAGGGAGCTTCCAGTGGAATTGATCATCCTTGATATACGTGATTATGATATCATTCTAGGGATGGATTGGGTTTATAGAAATCATGCATCTACTTTGTATCGAGAGAAGAAAGTGGTGTTTAGAGTTCCGATCAATTGAATTTTTGCTTTGAGGATAGTAAGGTTCAAAACTGTGTGTATTATATCGGCCCTTCAAGCTCAACACATGTTGAGAAGTGGTTGCACTGGTTTTCTAGCATCAGTGCAAGTTTTGACCCAGAAAAAAGTTAGTCTGAATCAAATTCCTATTGCGCATGAATTTCCATATATCTTTCCAAAAGATCTCTATAGAATGTCACCCGATAGGGAAATAGAATTTTCCATTGAACTGCCTCTAGACACAAGTTCAATCTCAAAGGTCCCTTATAGAATGGCTCTAGCAAAACTAAAGAAACTTAAGGAGCGGTTGTAAGAACTTCTAGGTAAGGAGTTTATTAGACCCAGTATTTCACCTTGGGGCACACAGTGTTAACTGTAAAGAAGAAAGATAGTAGCATGTGATTAAATATTGATTATCAGGAGCTAAAAAAGGTAACTATACGAAATAAATATCTGCTACTAAGGATTGACAATTTATTCGACCACTTGCAAGGGGCTCAGGTGTTTTCTAAGATCGATCTATGATCGGGCTATCATCAATTGAAAGATTAAGACTAACGACAATCTAAAGACCACATTTCATACCCATTATGATAATTACAAATTTCTTGTGTTACCATTTAGGTTAATAAATGCACCTGTATTTTCCATGGACCTCATGAATGGGGTTTTCAAATCTTTTTTAGATTATTTTGTGGTGATATTTATGGATGATATTTTAATAGATTCAGAGAACCAGAAGGAGCATGAGGAATATATACGGTGTGTGCTCAGTGTTTTGGGAAAGAAAAAGCTCTATGCAAAATTTAAGAAGTGTGAAGTCTAATTGGATAATGTGTCTTTTCCATGACATGTTATATCAAATGATGGAGTCTCGATAGTCCCAACAAAAATTGAAGCAGTTGTGAATTGGAAAAGACTAACATACTCTTATTTTCTCACCTTTGACCTGCTTGACTCAGAAAGGAATCAAATTTGTTTTGTCTGGAGAAAGCGAAATGAATTTCCAATAGTTAAAAAATCGACTAGTATCTGCACCAATTCTCACTATACAAATTGCAAGAGAAGACTTGACTATTTCTAGCAATGCCTCTCACAAAGGTTTGGGATGTGTGCTCATGCAAAATAGAAAAGTGGTAACTTACGGCTCTTGGAACCTAAAATCTTATGAGAAAAATTACCTAACTCATGATTTAGAGCTAATGGTGGTTATTTTCACATTAAAAGTTTGGAGACATTATCTCTATGGAGTGTATTGTGAAATCCATACCGATCACAAGAGTTTAAAATATATTTTTACTTAAAAAGAGTTGAATATGAGGCAAAGGAGATGGTTGGAGCTACTTAAAGAATATGATGTTAGTATTAATTATCATCCAAGAGAAGCAAATATGGTTGCAGACGTACTTAGTTAGAAGAGTAATATAGCTTGTCTTATTATTAGACAAAGGCATATATTAGAAGATTTGGATCTGTTCAGAATTGAGATCCATTGTTAACAATCATCGACCAAACTGAACAACACCTAGGTACAATCTGTTTTGATTGATGAGATTAAGATTATCCAAAAAGATAACTCTGAATTGAAAGTAATTCT